TGTGTGTGGGTAGAAGTGAATCATTTACTGCTTGCAAACCAATGATGGTAAGATGATGTCATGGGGTAGGACTGGATAAGTCTGACTTCTTCCTACTCCATTCAAGCATGTACTAGATATAAGCAAATTGATATTGGATTGTGTGTAAAATTATGTGTGTTGTCATATCAACTGTTTTTACATGCTTGAAAGAATAAATCAAATCAAATCAAATTATGGAGATGTGAGCACAAATGTTTTCTTGACAAATTAACTTGACTGGTGGTTTGAAATATCGGCTGTTTTTTAACAAATGGTGTAACCTTATAGTGTCAAGCTTAGCAATTAGCCAATAAAATATTGGTATTATGGCCTGCGTAGCCTTTGACTTGGCTGTGGGGCATCAGAGTTGGCACCTTTAGGTTCTCATACTGCTAAGGGCCAACAGTGTAACAGAGTACAGTCCTTTGACAATGTGGCACCTGTCACCACATGTCCCTGGCACCTTGCTTGTTATCCAGAGTGTGCAACATGGGAGATCTTATTTGAGCCACTAGGTTTGTGGCCTTTCAGCACCTGTCAGCAGGGCTCAGAGGGAAAACACAGCAGGCCGCATCAGCTCGGCCTCAGGGATAACACAACCGAGTGCTGTGGCTAGGGAGGGATCGTTTTACTGTTGGTCATCATAATGAGACTCTGGCTTTTGTTCCCAGCTTGGCATACCACACACACAGAAGTGTGTGCGTGCTTGTGTTCAGGTCTTCACTGACAAAAGGAATGTAAACATTCAGTCTTTATTTATTTATTTTTTGCCACCTTTTGGTCAAACTACCTCCAGAGGGATTCGTCTCAGATTTGACAGGTCACTGTTAGTTCTCATAGTCATATTGTTTTGGGGTTCTGCTTTTTGGTCCTCATTAGATGGTGCTACTTCTTGCATCCCATCCTCATTAGGGAACCCATTCCCAGAATCACTGTTTGCCCCCTCTCGGGTCATTGTTGGCTTACCCAGAACACTCTTCAGCTGCTCCCAGAAAAACACCTGCTGGTTGGCCTGCTGGGGCCACTCCAGGTATGTCTTGGTACTCAGCATCTTCTTAAGCTTGCAGTACTTGCTGGGCAGGGAGCTGGGATCAATGGGCTCCTTCACCACTAGGATAACGTCACTGAAGACCTTCCCCATTGCTCTCTGCTGAGTGAAGTACAGCTCATAGTTGCACCATTCACTGTCAACGAAGTGCCGAGAGAGGATAAATATTACCTGAGAATGGAGACAAAATGGCCATGGAACCAGGTATTTTAACTGCACTGTAATATTTTGTCTCTATGAGTTATGTTGAGCTATAGGTTGTGTTAGTTAGGGTAACAGTGTGTATAAAAACAACATGGGCATCATTATGCTAGCATTTTTTAGCACAGTGTAAATAGACAAAGATACAGTATAGACAGCCGAAGTTAAACTGGAACTTCCAGGATGTGTTCCAGAAAAAAGAAACCCCCTTTCAAAATCTCACAGAGATTTATAATCTGACTAGTAACTAAATCCAGCCTTGGAACTCAGCCGTTATGTATGTTATGAGTTTCACAACATTTGCTTGCACTCTAATGATATATTTCTTTAAAATGAGGTATTATTGACATTAACACAATATTTTTGTTTATACCACACTTTAATGAACATCATTTCCCAGAAGCCTGAGCTGGTTTACTGGCAGGAGAATTTAAATGAGGTCCCAAGTTGAGAGATGGCTGTAACTATTACACATCATCTCACAACTTAAAAAGTTGATAGAAGTGAAACTAATATCAGAAATGCAAAGTTAACCCTGTCCTACTTGGACTGCCAAAGTCCAGAAGAGCCTAATAAATAGCAATGACATATAACATGTGTACTGCCATGCTGCAAAGTGATCACAGGAACTGTACTTTTTCCAATGCTAAAAAAAATCATTAATTAACCTTATTAAAACCAAAATGTTTCCAACTTTCAGTAGTATATGTTGCAGTGGTTGGTGGTTTGTCTTAGAATATGAAAAAAAAATCCTGAGTGATATTCTTGGTTTTCTTACAGTGGCCAATGAAAAAGTTCTAAATGAGAACTTGCTAGTGGAACGGAGGCTAGCAGGATGTGATGGCATAACTTGGCCTCTCTATAGGCCAGTTTAAAGCCAATATAGCATCTCTGTTTAAAAAAAGGCTTAAAATAGCAATTTTATAGAAACTTCTGAACCACATCACCAACCACCAAATCCTAATATGCTCATCAGCTGATCCTCAAATGTTGTATTCCCAAAGTAAATATGTTTCACTATGGCTATTTTCCTTCAAACTTTACTCTGGATATATTTGCAAAAAAAAAAAAAAAAAAACCCAATGGTTTCCCTAGTTGCTACGTACTATACCCCTAATGCTTTATTCTGGCACATTAAAGTCTTCTTTTACATAACTGTATTCTGATACCTTACGACTGCTTTCAATGTTTTCAATGATGTTGTCAATGATCCACTTTCCGGGCATGAAATCCCTCTCGTGAATACACAGACGATAGGGGTTCCTGTCGTTCTCAAGACAGGGCAAGAGTTGATCCCTCACCCAGTCCGCATCAGAGTGGCTGTAGGATATGAAGGCATGATAGGTAAATGTTGTCAATTCACCTGTCGCCTTTTCTTTGTGAGCTCTGTATTTGGCCCTGATGATCTGGTATGTGGCTTTGGTGTACCATGGGAGGTCAAAAATATAGCAAATGAGCACTAATATCAAGATCACCGCTGTAGTGGTTGCAACACAGATGACAATAACTAGTCTGATATCACAGGCCACTTCATTTGGCAAGTATTTGGATAGAGCTGTGTTGAGAAAGGCCTCTGGGTGGTAACATTTGTAATTCCATGGCCAGTCTGTGAGGTTAACCTTTCCTTTTGAAGTTGTATCCTTGACAAAAGCATAGAGCTCACAAGTGCAATGGTAAGGATTGTTTCCTGCCTTCAGGCGAGACATTAGAGGCATGTCCTGGAAGGATGCCTTGCTAATGAGACCAAACGAATTCCCGTCCAAGGCCAGTGACTGCAGTGATGGACTTTTCCACTTAGATGGGATGAACTTGATCTTATTGCCACTCAGCAGGAGCTCTTCCAGGTTGGTGGCTTTCTCAAAGTATGCCATGTCCAGCTGGTCTAGGCCACAATAGGACAGGTCCAAGTAGCGCACTGTGGTGGGTAGACAATGGAGGGCTTCACTTACAAACCGATTGTGGTGAGCAATCACCCAAGTGATATTTTGTTGCCAGACACAGTCCTGACTATTTTCAGCATTTCCCAGTTTGTTGTTGCTAATATCCAAAACCTGCAGCTGCTGGAACTCCCTTGTTAGGGATGATAAAACTTTTAAGCTGGTCAGGTCATTTGTGCTAAAGTTGAGGGTATGAAGATTTGGCATGGTGCCCTTATAATCACAGAGCTGGTTGAAAATGAACTCATTCTGTAGGCGATTACTGGAGACACCCAGAGACTCCACACCTCTCATCTCTACCCAGGCATCACAAGGCACAGTGTTGAAGTACATGTTTTGAATAGAGAGTTCCTTAATTTTGTTGAGCCACGTGAAGCGCCAGTCAAATCGCAGCACATCAGGGTTGCTGATATACCTATAAGAAAGAGATTTGTAGTGTTGCATAAATTAAAAAGAATGCTTAGTTCATCAAGAACTGCAGTTTGTGTGAACACTGAAAATTACAAAATGCACTATATCAAAATATGGCACTAAAATTTATGTTGATTTCTGTGGTACATAACAGTCAGCTGTGCTAATATTTTAAGCTCTTACGCCATGTGTTAATCATGCCATTAGATATGGTTAAGTTTTGGAAATGCTAGAAAGCCAGTGGTATACACTGTCTTGGCACAAGGACTGGATGAGAATGATTTTTTTTCTGTAGTTTTGTACCATATGATTTGATTTTAATGTGATGTTGGTTACAAAAAGTGGTTATGTTTAGGGGAAAAATTCTATCATAACTAGCCACAAATGGGTATTCAGCAATTTACACATACAGTCAAGATTACAAATGTGTAAAAACTGATCTCTGTGTGACTCATGAAGGCCACAAATAAGTTGTTGATTCACACATATAATAAAAATTTACAAATGTGTAAAAACAATTTTTGGCAGACAGTTTAAATTTATTTGTTAGATGTGCGTACACACAGATTATGCTCACGTGCAAGGTTTTGAGAGTATTTTCTCGCTCTCAGAAGGTATTGTGCATTAGTTACAGGTGGAAAACTCGACTGGACGTTTGGCTTTTCAGGCTTTTTTAAAGAAATAAAATTGCTTGTCATCACTTGGTTGGACTTTAATTAAATACTTAGTTTAACACACATTGTCATGTGGCTTTATCTTTGTTTTAATCAGTACATGAGACACACACACACAATTTTTCCACATTTGTGATTGAGGATTTTATTTGTAGACCAACAAACACACCAATTGGTTTTTACTTGCATGTAATTTTGACTGTATTTGTAAATTGCTGAACACACATTAGTGGCTAGTTGTGATGGTATTTTACCCCCATAGTTTTGGCTTAGATTTTTTTTAAGCACCCGATTAAAGTGGAAAACATTCTTCACTCCAAAAACTGCAGGGGTTTGAAGAAAAAACAATACTTTGCAGATATTGCATTTTTGGTTGAATTTGCATCAATTCATGAGATCTTCACTGTGAATTCTTGGATGGACTGAATACTTAGTAAATAGCTAGTATTAACTTAAACTTACAATACATGAGCTTATATTTTACTAATAGCAATAGAACTCACAGTAAAGCTACTTATAAACTGCACTGTGAGCCATCGTGGAGTAGTGTAAACCCTGGTACATTTAACAAAACAATGTGACCAGCAAGAGACAAGTTTTAATTCACACTAATTATATTTCACTCTTGTACACAATGCCCAAAAATAAGCAGATACTCACCAAAGATCTAACTTATCCAGTGCCAAGTTTGTGATACTAGAACCTGCTCCACTATCAACAAATGTGGGTGAACGAGCAAAGTCGATGTACTGAAGTCTCAGCCTTTTGATAGGGGTGACTTCTAAGTTCAGCAAAGCCATCCTAAGGAAATTTTCATTGAATTTACCTCTGTGAAAGATGAGCTGATATGCTGTGATGTCTTTTAAACCCTGGAAAATGTCTTTATTTCCTGTGTAATATGTGAACTCAAATAGGTTGCGGAACTGGATGACGCTGTAGGTCTTGTTGGCAAGATCACGTAACATGTGAGGGAGAGCATTTGGCTGCTGATCTATGGCCATATCAAAGCCCATCTGCAATGTCTGAATTACTTCTAAACTTCCAGGCTCATAATAACTTAAATTGGAGGAGCATTTGATAGCAAAACCTTGTAACCTGATTTTCTTCAGGGGCTGAAAGTCTCCTTTCTTTAGGCCCATGACCAGAGGGCCACCCATAGAAAGAACCTGAAGGTTGACAAATTTGGAGAAGCTGTCAGCCAAAGTGGCATGCTTGTAGAGGTTATTGGACATGAAGAGCCGTTTTAGATTCACAAGAGGAGTCAGAGCTGTGGCAGGAATTTCCTGCAGGGAGTTATTAAAAATGTCAAGATGCTCGAGGAACGGGTTGTTTTTAAATGCATCGTTGTCAATGTGTGAAATGTTATTGAATGACAGCTGAAGGTTACGAAGCTGAGGGAAGCGGCGGAAGTCATTAGCATGGACAGCTTGAAGTTTATTAAAGGAGAGATCTATGTATTCCAGTGTGGATGGAAACTGTCTCCATGGAACACTGCTGAGCTGTCGTCCCAAACAGTCTGCAGAGCGGTCAGAGTTGTAGATGTGACAGTGTCCTGCCAGAGTGGTGGGGGGCGAAGATAGAGTCAGAGATGTGAGCACTCCAAGAAGCAGAGCACTGAAATGAATCAACTTCCAAATCATAATGATCTGTAAAGGAACAACAACAGGGTAGATCAGCCTTAAGCATTTTGTTTGCATTGCAAAGAAAAAATGGGAGAAAAAGTGGAGGAAACTTTTTCACCACTATATTTCAGAGAGAAATCCTTTTAGATATTTTGCAGATTAAAATTTTATTTAACAGAAAATAAACTTTCAAAAGTGATTTTGTTTTTAATTTACTTTCTTCTTTTTGCATAGTTTTCTCTCTTCCTTTTTTCTTCCCTGCATTCGCCTTCCTTCTTTTGCATTTTTATCCTCTTTCCTCTCCTTCCTGTGTTTTACTATTTCTTTCTCCTTTCACCTTTTTTGTTTTTACCCTTTTGCAACTAAATGAGATATAAACACAAAAAATCCCCCCAAATTGGCATGAAGGCTTGTCACCTTATAGTGACCCTGAATCCTAATCTTAACCATGAGAACTTTTACTTTGAATTTTTTTATGCCTCCACATCAGTGACAGCCGTGGCCGAAGGCATTATGTTGTCCAACAATCTCACATACACAGATGTACATACATGTCAATTTTACCAACAGTGGACTGACTACACAGTTTCTTAAATAAATCTTTAATTATAAGCTCTTTTTTCATAATTTTAGTGCAAACCCGCTGGTGTAATTTTCTCTGGTCTGAGTCTACTGATCAAACAATGGACCTCTGTTCCCTGCACTGGAACTGTGGTGAGCACAGACTGGGACATACAGTAAATGCACTTTCATGGTGTCGTTAAAAATCGTTCATCATATATTACTTTCATCATTCAAACCTTTGGCAAATATTAGAAAAGTTATGATGTGTTGCTCTCTATTAGCACTACTATATGGAACACACGGGTCAGAGACATTTGAGATCCATTTGTTGGAGTCTTTTCATCTTTGATCTGTGGGGTTTCAAAACTCAGTGAGACTAGAATCAAACCCACATAGTTAAAATGTCAGAGCGCTCCTCTAACATCCTAAACTAGTTGTAAAGAGACACTTGATCAATGTTTGTAAGAACCTTTGAGCATTCACTTTAGGTAGTTGACTTCAAAATTCAGGGCAGGACTAAATCTAGCTCTATTTCATCCTACATGTGACATTTGTTGGAGGTTTTAACTTTTAACTTGGGCTTCAGAATTTAGCGGTCATTAGACTGATTAATCCATTGGTCTCTGCTTCTCAATAGTCCGACTTGTTGCCGGTACCTGGAACATCAAACCCAAAAACCAATGCAGAGGGCGAGGGAAGTGGCATATCATGGCTGCAAATGCAATATGTTTACAACAGCAGATTCTTTCAGTCCATCACTGTAAATAGTGTCCCTGTGGTCTGAAAACCTGCCAGGGGGCTGCAAACCATTCACCCTGCAAAGGAATGGAAGGAGTGTGTCATCACCCTAAAATTCAGTGAAAGGCAAAACCCCACAATGTGGGTAATAGCAGACACACATAATCAGTCAGTGTCATTTCCTCTCTGAGCCCTCACTCAGTATATTTCTGTTAAGAGACTGTGTAATATCTTAGTCTGTTGTCAGTGCATCAAATGAAAATGATGTTTTTTAGGATGCGAAGCTATTTAAACTGCACCATTTGTGCCAAGCAGAAATAAACTGTGACACACATCTGATGCATGCAAGTTACAGAAAGGAAGAAATTCAAACTTTTCTGGCCAAAGAAACTCCAAGAAGTTCAATGTAGTGCAAAGAGACAACAGAGAAATTAAGATGTCAGAGGTATGACGTGACAACCTCAACCTCTACAAGAGCTATAATCAGTTTTCCATCATTTTCCTTCAATCAAATGCGCCTCAGTAGAAAACACTGGCAATTAGTTTCTTTTGCAGAATAAGTGGACCCTGCAAAACATACAGCAGCCAACTGGCTACATCGACAACATTACTCGACAATCATTATGTGCACTCAGGCAGCAAATTTGCAGTGAAAAACCCCATCAGACTGCTCCATATTAAACAGATGATTTCATTATTCATTCTCAACACTTACAGCACTATACATTGCACAGTACACTACACTTACCCTCTTAAGTTTCCTGCTTCAGGCTGTTAATGCAGACTCCCTCTCCTCAAGCTTTATTTATATTGCTGGTTTAAGGATACACACTGTTTTGTCCCTCGCGTGGAGGAGCAGTCAGGCTTTATAGCCCTGTTGAATAAACAGGGTTCGGTTTTTCTAGTCCAGAAGTGATGACATGAATAAACATTTATGCCTGGGCGGATATGGGTGGTGAAGAAATACTCTGTTTCCTTCTGTATTAAAGGTTATTATGAGTCATTATACCGGGTTAGTGGCCTGTTAATCTGTCACAGCTTGGACAGCGACCAGAAAGTGTGTTATCCTATATTTTTACAGTAGCTGCAAAAACACTGAGATTGATTAGTTGATTATTGTTCTTAGCTCTGCTAATTATATTGAGCAATAAGGACTGAGGTGGGTTAAATGCCTCTTCTACTTCTCTCCCAGCTCTCATACCACTCATGCCATCTGAATGACTCACTGTTAACATGTTCTTCCAGATTAATACAAGACAGCAAATGAAAGGCCTTATTCTTCACCCTGTGTTTAGTGTGGCCACCATCTTCCTTACCTGCCATATAAATTATGTCCGTGTGAGAAAACAGCAGCCGTGGTGCTGCTTCATTAAGGAAACAGAAACACTCCTTGGCTATCTGATCTAGTAAATAGTGGACAGCTGTTCCTGCAAACTGAGAGTAGATAAAGATGAGCATCACTAATATTGACTTAGAGAAACGCCTCGCATGAAAGGAGCTGCTGAAAAGTGATGTCGTAACATCACCTGGCAATAGCAAAGTGTATTGATAAACTGCATTACTATTGTTTGAAGCATTCATCTGATGTTCTCAAACAGACTCCACTGTCTTTTGAACATTACATAAAAAATGAAGGGAAATTAGGGTAGTTTTTATTAAACCTAAAGTTCACAATAGCAGGTCTGCTGGCCATACTTAACATGTTGACACACTATATGAATGTTTTCCTCTCAGACCTGTGTTGATGAAGTTACTGATGGTGTGCTTTTATTGCACAGGTCTTAAACATTCATAGTGTGAGGCTGTACAAGGCTTGTCACTCATTGTCTTATTTATTTTTTATTAATCGAGGACAAAACATAGCTGCTGTCAAGTCCCAAGTCGAGTCTTAAATTAGTGTTAAAGTGTCTCAACATTGATCTTGCAGTTTTACTGCATGTGATGCTGTGTGATAGGGGTTTTTAATAAAATGGCCACATCTGTCACGATTCTGTGAAACCAGTTTTTAGGCCACATCTATGTTTAGAAGTCATATGACTAATAAATAACAAATAATAATAAATCTTGTTGTTTTAGAGTAAAGGAATAAATAGTGTTAGTGTGCGGTGGTTAGCACTGTCTTTATCTTCTGTTTGCACTTATAAAACCCACCCTGGTCTGTGGTTTGCAGCCTTATCTATGAAAGAAATGCACACAAATAGGCTGGCAATGCTGCAGCATCGGAGATGTTGCAATTACTTCAGTGTCAACAGGCTCAACTGGTCATACATGACACCCACCTCCCGAAATGCATGAAGAGGAAAAACATTTGTTAAACAAGCCCCGGTCCTGTTGTATCATCAGTGACACGCAGCCCTCAGAAATTCACTATTAGTTGTATGGCGGTAGAAAGCTCTGTTGTCCTCTTCAGGTACTAGGGATCTTTTTCACTACTCAGAGCTTTTGTGTCAGAACAATCTTTATTCTCTCCACCAAAAGTATTAGCAAGTATGGAGAAAAACAGGAAACTGGTAAATGGACTGCACTTGGAGTATATAGTGCTTTTCTACCTTACAGGACAAGTCTCTTTACAGATTCATCCATTCACATAGTGGGGAACTCTCAGAACATGTGAGCTAAGCCGCAACATGAAATTCTGTCAAACGGTCTGTGATGAGCTGAGACAATATGATTCACAGTAAACAGGAGGATAAAGATGTTTCAGCAGGCAAAGTCATCATCCAGGCTCCTTAGCGTGAGGTGGTAAGTCCAGTACTAAAGTAGCAAACTGTGACAGAAACGATAAACGGCTCTTTCATTGATTTAACTTTCTCTCTCTGATATAGTGAATGAGGTCATGCAGCGAGCTCACAGCTCTATTACTGCATCTGATATTTACCCATCAGTCGATAGCTGGTGGCAAACAGCTCTTTCATTGATGTGTTGGCAGCGCTGTGTCCGCTGCCCCTGTATAGCACATTAATCTGCCAGCAGATGTGTTTCACTGATGAGGTTTAATGATGCTCTGTGTTTACATGCTGTGCAAAAACACAGCTGCATTTGTGCCTGAGCTGCAAACATTCTGCTCCCAGGTCAAAGTATTCATCCTCCAAAGACACTGATACAGTACTTGACATGTTTACAGTATGTACTGGGGTCCTTCATGTCATACAGCAAGTGTTTCTGCTTTCACCCCACATAGAGAAAGGAGTTTCACTTCTGTCTGCAGCGAGAAAGGAAGATGCAGAGTGAGTTAGTTATTAGTTACACATGGGTTTTTTCCTGCTATGACAGGTCAAAATGTCTTCTTTGAGAAAGGTCCATTGTATGTGACATACATGAAAATTGTATTTTGTTTCAACTTCATGTCCATAAGAATTAGTTTAAACTTGTACCTGTGAATGCAGCTTTAGGAAAGAAAAATGTTTCCTGACCATAGTTTCAAGGTTTCGAAATAAAAGAAGTTTGGTTTTCTGTCTTATTGCAACAACTTTATTTCACAAAAATGTAAATGCTGTCAACAATGACTTTCTAAAGGGAACAATGCTCAGCACAGAACAATGTGCCTTGTGTATTGTAATGTGACCCCACCCACACTATGTCCCATTGACCTGTGCTCCATGGAGCAGGAGCCAAGCTTGACAGGTTGAATGGTTTAATGTGTGTGAGCAAACCCACAATCGTGTCAGTTTGGATGTTTTCACACTTGAGTGGATTAAAGCAGGTTGTCCCGGAAGTCAGGCCGTTTCCAATAAGATCTAATACAACAAGTATTAAAGAGGCCTGTGTGACCAGAGTAACAGCATAAAGTATAAAATGTAAAAACCTGCTGTCATTTGTGATCTAAGCAAGGCACAGTGTACAAAAGGTTACTCAGAGCATGGGAATTTTACCCACTGTATTATGGCATTTAGAGAAGTTATGTTTGTAAAAGAGGATCAAGGCATAAGACTATTTTTCCAAGCACAGTGAGCCTGGTGAATCATGTTCAATCTGTTTCACCTGTTTTTCAACCTGCCATAGATACTGTAATGACTTGATGAAAAATAAAATCAATGCTTGTACAGTTTGTTTAAACGTTTTGGTAGATGGTGATAAATATCTGCATATATCGTCCAGCAAAATGCACAGGATTTGCACATTTCTAAAATTTCTGCAACACACATACTTGGAAGTTTACAAGAGTATAACAGAAATCTTATATGACTGCAGGAAATTTCAGAATATTTCTGTACACTTCAAGTTTTACAGAAATGTATCACTGCCAGTTTCTTTCAGAAACCCGATTTTTCATCCAGTGCTGCATTAATGCCCAAATGTCTGCTACACACTTCTCTAGGAAGACAAACAGAAGGCTGAAAAGCTGTTTTGCCTTGGCAACTTTAAGACAACTAAAGTTCTGACAGAAGCAGTAAAAGGCTGATATCGATGAC